TTCAATTACCATTGATTTATTTAATAAATATTAGTCAACTAACTAACCAACCTGTTCTCATAAAAAATTAATTTCACAATTTTGGTTTAGATAAAAGATAGAAATAGTCGAACAACCAAAAAAGGACATGTTACCATTGATGCACCTTTTCTTTGGATAGATATCACGTCAGATTTAATTTTAATTTTTTCGTTATAGAGTTCTTGTCGCGTTAAAATTTGCCTTGGTACTTCCCCTTTCCATTTTTCGAAGAATTAATTCAGATTAGTTTTGCAATTAGACTTATGGACCGATTCCGCCGCATAACAGAAAAATGTTATGGCAAGGCTGTGTTATAAACAACTTTTCATACTAAATATTGACAAAGCCATGTGGTTGGTGTGCAGTTAGGCGTATTTCTGAAGATGTCAGATAGAAAATCTAATCTAGAAACCGCACAGATGTCAAAAAAAAAAATCGATCGTAGATAACAGGGTTTTTCTGACCCAGATTCATAACATACGAGTGCGTTGCAGTTTATATGTAAAACGACTGAATGCACAGCTAATACATGACATTTTGACAGTATTCAGTATGATTCAGTAGCATAATGTATGGAAGTTGGAGCGTAACATGGCCATAACATTTTTCTACTATGCGGCAGAATCGGTCCCTTAGTTTCTAAAATATACTTTTATTTTCGTGTTAGTTAAAATGTTTGAGCACGTAAATATGCATAAAAAATAACAGACAAATGTTATGGCAAAGCTGTGTTATAAAGAACTTTTCATACTAAATATTGACAAAGCCATGTGGTTGGTATGCAGTCAGGCGTTTTTCTCAGGTTGTCAAATAGAAAACCTAGCCTAGAAACCGCATAAATGTCAAAAAAACGATCTTACATAACAGGGTTCTTCTGACCAAGCTTCATAACATGTGAGTGACGTTGCAGTTTACGTGAAAAACGCATGAATGGGCAGTAAATACATGATATTTTGACAGTATTCACTTTGATTCAGTAGCATAATGTATGCAAGTTGGAGCGTAACATGGTCTTACCATAACATTTTTCTACTATGCGGCATAATCGGTCCCTTAGTTTCTAAAATACACTTTTATTTTCGTAAAAAATAATAATAAAATTTCGCATGAAAAATAAATAAATAAATAGTTGATTATATTGCTTTTATTGAAACACTTTGGTGAACACATCAATCGTTATTTTACAAATTATAATATATATTGTATTTTCACACCCATTTAGTATCATTTTGTTCCCTTTCACTTGTAAATAACATTACAAAATAGTTTTAAAAAACTTAATATGCCATGCAAAAAACAACTAATATTAAAATTAATACACACATGAGCCGATTCTCGAATAAAATAGAAATGTTATGGTAATGTTATGTTTTTTATGTCTTTGATAACACATACATGAAGTTAGGTTTTATGTGTCAAACACCTGATGTCACAACAAATACATAGTATTTTGACCAACCTACCAACTCATACGATTAAAATAACATTTTTATTTTATCCAAAAATCGATTCCTCAAATCAGTGGGGCAATTCTACCGTAACCTAGAAGATACGATAGCGTTGTTATGGCAACGCTATGTTATGCTTGTTTATTGGTAGTGAAAACTGTGAAAATGTCTTGGTATAATAAAAATGATTCTTTAAAATTACTCAGTTTATTTTAGATGTTACTTGTTTCACGGTTCAGCAAGAAGAGAGTTATTTTACATAGTTTTAACATTAACATAAATATAAAATGGCGGATACATAGTTTTATGGTAGGTAGGACTGTTAGCAACATCACTAATAGTAATGGCGGGACATTTGAATTACAAATATATATAACATTACATTTGACATTACATAAGAAAAATGTGACCAACAATTTTATCCATGTTTATCTATTTGCTGTGCGGTCAAGTGAATTTTACATATAAACAAGCAAAGAAGAATCTTATGATAACAGCATCTTCAAAAATTCTGTTATCATAAGATTCTTCCTTGCTTGTTTATATGTAAAATACGCCTGATCGTACAACAATTAGATAGACATTTTCACAATTTTTACTACCCAGAAACAAGCATAACATAGCATTGCCATAACAACGGTATCTTATTGTCTATGTACGGCAAAATTGGCCCATAAATATATAATATAGTAAAAAATATTTATTAGCTAGAATTCTGTAATACTTTATCAACAAGATTCCTTAAATTGTATAAAAAATTTCCTAGGCCGTACTAAGCATTTTATTGAATGATAGAAGACTTATTTTTATTTCATTATTGGAAGCATTCTCAAGAAGTTACTTAACTACTCAAATACGTAAACAAATATTTGTTTATAATAATATATATATAAACTATGAATTGTTATTGTTAAAAAAATATAATAACAAATATTTCTTAAAGAAGAAATTTATTAACTTCCCATAGGATAAGTTATTGTAACCGTCAAAAAAATCGAAAATGAAAATGTTTTTATATCTATTATATAAAAATAAGTCGGGTTTTCCTTACTGACGATATAACTCCAGAACGCACAAACCGATTTCGACGATTTTGAATTCGTTGGAAAGGTCTCGGACTCCGTGAGGTTTATAGCAAAGAAAATTAAAGGAAGATTTCAACAGAAAAGCGGAAAACACTTTTACTTTTTTCACATACAGCGTTATCTCTGTACTACCAACTAATATTTTTTGTTTGACAGCTACTCATTGTTCTCTGCTTACAATTTTTCATGTGACAAACCGGCATTATGTTCACTGTAAAATTGTGCAAAAAAAGTAAAAAAATAAGTTATTCGTTTCCTAACATTTCAATTGGAAACCATCAAATCAATCACGTGTATTGTGCAAACTTTCATTCAATTACAACAGCAGACAAATTTTTTCTTCATCTTTTAATCACCAAACGAAATGTTACATAAAATGAAACCATCTGGTGGTGAAGCGGATTTCGCCCGGTTTGCTAGTCTTGTATATTTATATAGAGAGCTAAATGTGCAAAAAATGGTAGTTTTTGAAATAAGGAAGCATCCGATTTGAATGATTCAAATAAAAATCAATTCTTACTGATGGGGTGCTGATTAGTTTTTGGCAAAAGCAGGCCCAGCCGTTACGGAGATATAGAGCAAAGAGTGCCGAAAACAGAAATCGAGATTTTGAGAGAACGGAGGGTCCGATTTGAATGATTCAAATAACATTCATTTCGTAATAATGGGGAGAAGTGGTGATTAGTTTTTGGCAAAGACCTGTCCAGCTGTTTTGGAGATAAAGAACTAATTGTGCAAAAAATTGTAGTTTTTGAGAGAACAAAGCATCCGATTTGAATGATTCAAAAACATCGATTCTTACTGATGGGGCGACGTGCTGATTAGTTTTTGGCAAAAGTAGGTCCACCGTTACGGTGATATAGAGCAAAAAGTGCCGAAAACAGAAATCGAGATTTTGAGAGAATAGAGCATCCGATTTGAATGATTCAAAAAACATTAAAATCGTAATAATGGGGAAAAGTGGTAATTAGTATTTATGATAAAGCGCTAAATGTGCAAAAAATGGTCGTTTTTGAGAGAACAAAGCATCCGATTTGAATGATTCAAAAAACATTTTGCTTATATTGACAAAACAATTGTTTTTGTTAAAGCATTTTTTTTAGAATAAATAAAATAAAAAAATTTGCTTCCCCCAATAACAATCGTTTCTAGCTAAAATTCTATTGCTCACTTATATACTTAAAATAAATAATTTTAACTTTGCAATTCAATTTATATATTTCTTATAAATATGAGATAAAGTCCTTCATTCTTATTTTACTTCATTAAGTTTTGTTTATTTAGGTTTTATATAAATATTTATAAACGACATTGACTAATTCAATAAACTGTTATATTTTATCTATAAGGAATAAATAATGAAAGTTCTAGTTTTTATAATATCTATTCATTATTGAATGCTAATTTTTATTTCTTAATTGTTGTACGGAAAGTTCCAGCAATTTGCCTTAAGGCACGATGCTATACACCATCAGTTTTTCCTAATTTCGGTGTCAAACGATTCAGAATGACTTGGAACAACGAGAAAATATAAAATTCGCAAATTTACTATAATCTAAGTAATAAATAAATAAATGAACTAGTGGTGTATTGCATCGTGCCTTAAGGAAAATTGCTGGAACTTCCGGAAGGAAGAATATTAAATGTTTTAAAATAGATTGTTATAAATATTGTAACATTGTCGAATATTTATAGGAATTATATAATCTGAATTGCAAAGTTAAAATTATTTGTTAAAAGTATATAAGTGAGCTTTAGAACTTTAGCCAGAATTAAAATTAATATCTGAAATATTTTCGATATATAAAAAAAAAATTAAATATTTTTTTACAAAAGCAATTATTTTGTTAAAACAAGCAGAAAGTTCTTTGAATCATTCAAATCGGACGCTTAGTTCTCTCAAAAATGCCATTTTTTGCACATTTAGCTCTGTATCTCCGAAACCGCTGAACCTGCCTTTGCTAAAAACTAATCACCTCTTCTTCCAATCATTACAAAATGATTGTTTTTTAGATCATTTAAATCGGATTTTTTGTACTCTTTGCTCTTTATCTCCGTAACGGCTGGGCCTGCCTTTGCCAAAAACTAATCAGTACATCTCGCTATCAATAGGGATCGAATGCTTTTCGAAGCATTCAAATCGGTTGATCCGTGCGCCCGAAAACGCTTACGAAAAAATGCGGACATACAAAACACACACACACACATACACACACATCGATTTTTTCTGAGGTATGCCAAAATGTTCAGAAACCCTCAAAACGTCGAGAAGTTCAAAAAATTTCATTTTCGATTTTCGGCCCATTACTATAACTATCCTACAGGAAGTTAATAAATGCTAATTTGATAAAATTTTTGATAATTTGTGATTTCAATCATATCAAATTGTTTAAAAATTAATACTAAACATTCTTTGGTTTGTAGCACCCTACGATAAAAATCTTGAAATATATATAAAAAATTTATTTGGCACCTTTTTCAATATCTTCCTTGTCTCTCATTACCACTATTTAGTCTTCATTTACACCCCTATCTTCCCTCTCAGACAATATTGTGAGTCTTCATATGCCGTTGCAACAAAGGCGACTGTGTAAATCCCTTTCCACAAATCATGCACTTATAGGGCCTTTCACCTGTATGGAGTCTCGTATGCACCACCAGAGCATTCGAAGTAGTAAACATCTTACTGCATGTCAAACACTTAAAACGTTTTTCCCCTGTATGAGTCCTCGTGTGCGTTGACAAAGGCCCCGGTTGTGTATAAGCCTTATCACAATACTTGCATTTAAAAGGTCTTTCACCAGTATGGATAACTTTGTGTCTTGTTAAAATAGATATTTGGGTAAACTTTTTGTCACAGAAATGACATTCATAACGCCTGTCCCCGGTGTGGATTCGTTTGTGCATTGTGAGACGTACAGAACTTGTGAAGGCTTTGTTGCACTCATCACACTTGTAGGGGCGCTCACCTGAATGTATTCTAGAATGTGTGAGTAAATCATTTTTCACCACAAAGCCTTTATTACAATAAGTGCATGTAAATGGTTTTTGTTCGCTATGCACAAACATGTGCCTTGAGACATAATTCAAGCGAGAAAAGCCTTTATTGCAGATTTCACACTTGTAAGGACGATCTTCAGAATGGGTCACCTCGTGTCTTGCTAACTCGCTAGGGCTTTTGAATACTTTCGTGCAAACTTTGCATTCATAAAGGCCTTCTCCTGTGTGATATTTCAGGTGAGATGTTAGATGACTTTGGCGAGAGAATGTCAAACCACAGTAGGAGCATTGGAGTGATTTAGCACAAGCGTAGGAGTGATTTTTTAAGGACAGAGAATTTGTAAAGGTTTTGTTGCAGATGATGCAGACAAATGGACCGGTGTGAGTTCTGATGTGTGATGATAAAGAGTCTTTGCGGGTGAAGACTTTTGGGCAATATGTACATATAAAAGACTTTTTACTTGGAATTTTTGGCACTTTGGAGCCTTTACGTACTTTGTTTCTTATAGCCTTTGTGAGAATTACATCATCTTCTTCTTCTAAATATATTTCTGATTCAAATAAATTGGCACAATCTTTGGCATAAGTATTATCCATTTTATAATATAATTTTTACTTAATTTTGTCATATTTGAATGCACATTACTTTAGTTGCTTTATTGATTTCTTGATCTTTTGCTGACATTTCAATTTCTTTCTTGTTGTATTAAAAACACATAGAAACATAACTTAAACAATATTTTAAAATATGTTTCACTAAATTTTATATTATAACTAGTAAATTTATCACAAATTAATTTATTTAAGCCATTTTGATACTAATTTAGAATTTTCTAAAAATTGTAACCTCAATTTAACATGGCTGTCAATTGACAGATAAAGGCGCTGCCACACATGGCGGTGAAAAGACAAGAAGATAAAGGCACTGTCACACATGGCGGTATTTTGAAAAGACGAAAAAGTAAATTTAATTTTATAAAATACTAGCTAACCCGACGAACTCCGTTTCGCCACCAGATGGTTTCGTGAGAAAGATGAAGAAATTTTTTGTTTGTTTTATATTTGAAAAGGAAAAATTTGATCAGGAAGGAAAACCCGACTTATTTATATATATATATAGAAGATAATCTATTTGCAATTATTTAAAACAATTATTGATTATTTTTATTATTCGAATTTTTAATTATGGTGCGTGAAGTTCCAGCAATTTGCTTTAGGGCACGATGCCATGCACCACGAATTTTCTTAGCTATAAACCTTGCGGAGCCCAAGACCTTTCCAACAAATGCAAAATTGTCGAAATCGGTTCGTGCGTTCTGGAGTTATTTCGTCAGGAAGGAAAACCCGACTTATTTTTATATATATAGAAGATAATCTATTTGCAATTATTTAAAACAATTATTGATTATTTTTATTACTCGAATTTTTAATTACGGTGCGTGAAGTTCCAGCAATTTGCATTAGGGCACGATGCCATGCACCACTAATTTTCTTAGCTATAAACCTTGCGGAGCCCAAGACCTTTCCAACGAATGCAAAATTGTCGAAATCGGTTCGTGCGTTCTGGGGTTATTTCGACGGGAAGGAAAACCCGACTTATTTTTATATATATAGAAGATAAACGCATTTATAAAATATAAACTAGTGGTGTATGGCATCGTGCCTTAAGGTAAATTGCTGGAACTTTCCGTACCTTAATAAAATATTATTATAAACAATGTAACTTTCATGGTTCTTATTTTATAAAAAGTAAATAAACAAAACGTAAGGGGGCTTATTTATTATCTATGGGGCGACCATTAAAAACATGAGGTTTTTATGGGGAAGAAGGGGATTGACAATAAATCACCAAATATCACGTGGGGGAGGGAGGGGTATAGTAAGATATCACGTGTATCTAATTTTTAATTGATTTCTTTAAAAAAAATTCAAAAATTAAAATTAAAAAAAAAAAAATTACAGTTTTATCACGTGATGTAAGGTGGAGGAGGGGGTGGTAATTTTGAATATCAGCATGTATAACCAAGGGCAAGGGGTGGGTCCAAAAATCCTTAAAAACTAGCTCACGTGATTAACAGACGCCCCCTAATCAATCGGATTTATGATGAAGAACACTAACTAATATTTCTTAGTATTATATAAACTGGAATGCAAAGTTAAAATTATTTATTCGAAGTATATAAGTGATATTTAGAACTTAGCTAAAACTTGAATTAAAATCCGAATTATTTTTCGATATCAAAGAAAAAAAAATTGAAAAAAAATAGAATAAAAAAAAATAATCTTTCCTCAAAAGCAATCGTATCGTCAACACAAGCAGAAAGTTTTTTAAATCATTCAAATCGGACTCTTAGTTCTATCAAAAACTGCCATTTATTGCGCATTCAGCTCTGTATCTTCTAAATGACTAGACCTGCCTTTGTCAAAAACTAATCACTTCTTCTCGCAATCATTACAAATTGAATGTTTTTTGGATCATTCAAATCGGATACTCCGTTCTCTCATAACATCGATTTCTATTTTCTGCACTCTTTGCTCCATTTCTCCGTAAAGGCTGGACCTGGCTTAGCCACAAACTAATCAACACATTAATAGGAATCGAATGTTTTTTTAACCATTCAAATCGGTATCCTATTTGATAACCTGTCTTTGTGATTCATTTATGGTCTTATAGCATAAGCAGTATAAAAAAATTCAGAAAAATAATAATATAGTATCTGCGCTAAACGAACAATATCACACTTGATTTTACCACACAACATAATTGCTTCAAGCTAAATTAGTTTCTAGAATTTTCATAATCTCGTACAATATATTAGTTGCTTTTTGGCAATTATAATTTATAAAGTACTTTATAAATTTTCTTACTAATAATCCAATAAACACAATTGTTTAAGTTCAAATTTTAGGTGAATTAATTTGTAAAATCTAGTTCATATATGCACTATTCAATCTAAGATCAACTTGTTAAATATTCTATATCCAATGCCAAACAAATTAATTTATGACACATGAAACAAAATTCTAAATCATTTTTTTAATAAGTAGAAATATTTGTACGCATTGTTAAATAATTTTGTAAAGTAAACCAAAATGTGGAATGCATAAGTTTAAAAAAATAATGTATATGCAATTTATGGACTTATTGGGTTATTTATTAAACTGAATTATTTAATTTCTCTGCCAAACATATACTGTTGACTGTATCTTACATTATTTTGATTTCTGGCACATTCAGCTGCTTTTCGACAGAAATAATGTAGAGGTACATTTTTGTTGTAATTATATCTAATATTGTCAGCTAAATTCAAATTCAAGTGAATTGAACATTTCTAGCAGATGACTGTCAAATGGTTTCAATGTCAAACAATGATAAGCATTTTTTTTGAAATATTGCTATTTATTTTACAATATTCATTAAATCTTAAAAATTCCTTTGACCAACTCTGAAAAAGAGTTATCAAGAACCAAATAACCATTTAGGAAAAGTATCAAATCATACACCCAGAAGAATTTATATATATTATATATAGATATATATATATATATATATATAATATATATATAACAGTAAATGACAAAATAAATAAAAATCAAATAAAACAGTAAATGACAAAAAAGTGAGTAAAATAATAACAATGTTGTTCATTTAGGTTTATTATTAATAAAATTATAGATTACTTCAAATTTTCACTTTCTTGGCTAATTCTCACTTTGCAGCATGAGCCAATAATTCATGTCGACTCAATGTTTTTTCTGACTTGTATATTTTATTACACTTCTCACATTTATGACATTTTACTTTGTTGTGCACTGCCAAGTGTCCTTTTAAATAAGTTGCTTGACTAAACGTTTTACTGCAGATTTCACATTTAAAAGGGCGCTCTTCAGAATGGGTCTTCTCATGCGCATTTAACATTACTTTCGTTCTAAATGCTTTACTGCATGTTTCACAGCTGAAAGGGCGTTCTCCGGAATGGATGCTCATGTGTCTTTTCAAAGTGCCTGATTGGTTGAAAGTGCTTTCGCATAACGGACATTCATAAGGACGCTCTCCAGTGTGAGTAGACATATGTCTTTTTAGGCGACTGATTTATCAAATATTCTATTACATATTTCACAAGCAAAATTTTATTGTGGGTAAGCTTGTGGGTTTCCATATACTCTAATTGTGTGAATGCTTTAAGCATATTTCACATTGTAAGGTTTGTCTCTTCGGTGTGAATATACATGTGAGTAGTTAAATGATGTGGACGTAGGAATCCTATCGCAGATTTCACATCTGTAAGGGCGTACTCCACTGTGAATAAGCATGTGTTGCTTCAAATGATTCAGTCGATTAAATTCTCGGTTGCATAGGTTGCATTGGTATCCTTTTTCACCAGTATGAGTTCTGAGATGTATTTTAAACGACCTAAGTCCTGAAAAGTCTTCTGAACAATATGTGCATTCACGATTATGAAGTGTTATATGTTTTCTAAATTATGCAACCTTATGAATGGTTTATTACATATCTCACACCACATAAGCAGTCTGGATTCCCTCCTGATGACATCTTCTTCTAAAGTGACTTCGCAGTCTATAAAATTCTCCAGACATGTATCATCATCCTCTGGACACGACTCAGATCAACAACATCATCAAGGCCCCCCAATTCATCCCAATTTCACACTAATGACTTCTGGTGGTTCTATTTTAATTTTCTCCTCGTTCGTCAAGACAGCCGGTTCTTCAACATTATTATTATATTTACACTATTTGATTTACAATTAATTAAATATGGTTTTAAAAGATTTTTTTGACGCTTTCGCTAGTTTGACGTTTGATATGAAACCTAGGCCATAGATAAAGAAATAGATAGGATACTTCAGGGTCATCAAGATAATTGCAAATTACGCTGGTAGAGGCACTAGAATTCGTAGCAGGATGTAGAAATGTAAAACAAAACTTCTTGTAAAAGGTTTACATATCAAATAATTTTAGTGATTTTAATTTATGTAAAAGCCGATAATTAAGTTATTTCTATTAGCCTAATATCTATATAGAACTAGTGGGGCGCATGGCATCGTGCCTTAAGGCAAATTGCTGGAACTTCCCGTACCAAAAATTATTTTTTTTCAAAAAGATTAACATTTTTGAAAGAATTTTACTCTAAAAAATTAGATTTTTGAGAAACTATAAATTTGTGATAAAAATTTCCTTTTTTTGAAAAAAAAAGAATTTCTGAAGCAAAATTTATTTGAAATATTTTGGAAATTCAGAACATTTTTTCAAAACAATCGTACTGCTTTAATTGCATAGAGACGAAATATCGAAGCGCATAAGTGCTGCGTCGCCGTCTAAAGGATAAACATTGGTACGGAACCCATAGGTAAACAAAATTTATACTTATTGTTAAAATTTCTATAAAATATCTGATAATTTAATGTGCATATGTCTAATGATCATTTTTGACCGCCAAATGGCATTTTTTTTACTCTTTTTACTAGATCTCCAAAACCGTTAGACCTGCCTTCATGAAAATTTGGTCAGTTCTTCATCTTGTTAATACAAGTAAAATGTTTTCTGAATTATTCAAATCGAACGCTCCGTTCTCTTAAAAACTGAGTTACCGTTTTTGACAGTTTTTGCCCCATATCTTCGGAATGGCTAGACCTGCCTTTGCCAAAAACTAATCAGCACGTCTCCTTATCAAAACGAATCGAATGTTTTTTGAATTATTCAAATCGCTTCATCCGTGTTCCCAAAATCGTCGACGAAAATTTGTATCCGAACACACACACATACACGCACACACACACACATACACATACATCCATTTTTTCTAAGGTATGCCAAAATTTTCAGAAGGTTTTGAAACGTAAAGATATATAAAAAAAATTCATTTTCGATTTTTTTGCGATTACTATAACTTGCCCTACGGGAAGTTAAAAAAATCAGATGAGGATATGTATGCTAATTATTCATTACAACTACCTATAATACATATCATATAAATCATTAACTTTAGAAAGAAAGTCATTAAGTCATTGAGTATGAAATTGGGAGGCTTACTCATAGACCTTATACAATACATGGACTGCTAGTTGAGCGCATAAAAAGTGTCAAAAGATGTTCTATGGTATGAGGCCATACGAGGGTAATTTTGCGGCCGAGATATGTCAAATACGAACACGAGCTTTACCGAGATTATTCGAATGCACTCGATCGCTTAAATTTTACAGTTACTTGGGTTCACGTGATGTTTGATCGCTCGGGTTTTTAACTAAAAGGATAAAAATATACCTGTTGTAAAATTGTTAAAAGTAAATGTCTTCTAAAATGTGTTTGGTCTGTGGTAAAGTTCCTGATTGCAGTAAAACATTCGACAATCATCGATATAAAAAATCGAGGATATCTTTCATATCCTTCTAATGCATGTTTAATTATGTTTTATATATAGAAACCCTAATTCGAAATTCTTTAAATTTAATGTACAAAAGTTCATATGAAAGCACGATTCTCCGAAAGTTGAATGACTTGGGACTTGCACATTTTTTTAGATCAAGCCATTTCCAGCAATTTGTCCAGCACTATCATGACCTTATCAACTTTGTCGCAAAAATGTATTTAACAATTAGATGCACCATGAAAAGAACATAAAAAAGCCAAAGTTGATAAATATGTACGCCACTTTCACACAAAAAT